TATACTCTAAGTAGAAAGAATTTTTATTGTAGATTCTCCTACTTCAAAACAACATTTCTGTTCCTTATTTTTCATTGTGCTGCTTAAGAATAAACTGGAAATTTTCAGCAGCTCCTTCACTAACACTTGAGGCTTCTGAATGAAAATAAATTAGTAATTTAACCGAGAAACTAGATTTTGGTCTTTTGGAAGAATTCTAGATCAGCTAAAGACAAGATTTTTATCAGTGTCAGTTAAAATCTTTTGTAATCAAGCGTTTRTGTGAGCACATGGATTGGGGCTGTCTGGTCCTGTTGTAGCTAGTGTATAATGCGTGTGTCTTGGAAGACATCTGTGCCATCTGAATTTGGACCTGTGTCATATAGATGAGCGGTACCCCCTTTCTTTTGCCAGTGCCCACATGAGGAAAATTCCTTGCAGCTTAAATTCCCTTTCGGCCCCATTCCCAACGCTTATCTCTGCGTTTGGGAGGTCTCCTGTTTGTTTGAAGGAGGGCCTGTTATCTCTGAGCACTCCTCTGCRAGATCAAAAGAAAAACACTAAGAGCAGATCACTTAGTCCCACTAAAAATGTGGACTCTACCTCTGTAAAAACACTTTGGTTTAAAAGTAAGTGCTGCATCCRCAACAAATTTTAAAACCAGAACCTGTGCCTTTCTAATAAAAACTTGCATAGGAGAGAGGTTGGTCTTGCTCTTTTGACATGAACCTGCCATTAAAGGCTTTTGCTGTTCATTGATTGGGAAGCAAAGTTTGTTCTGGGATATTTCCTGTTTGTYATTCCAAATGAGGAGGCTTTTTGGTAAATACCAGCTAGCTTGTKTCCAGTAGTCACTTCTCCATGTGGAAAATGTTACTTTATTACTCCACACAAGAATTCCTTTGCCAGGCAAAGTCTATCAAATACATCCCTGGTCACCAAGGGTAATGTCATACCTTTCTAGATGTGTTTATAGGTCCTTTCAGGGCAGCTGAACTGGCTGCTTTGTTCTTGGTTAGTTTTGGTCAATGCCAACCTTGCTTGCACTTAACTGCAYTTATTAAGAGCTCCTAAGCAGCAGTCTGCACTGAACAAGCTCTTTTTCCAGAGCTGCTCTTGCATCATAAGCGAGGGGGAAAGCAAGCAGTACGCAGAGAGTGAGAAATAGAGGAAAAAGGGGCAAACTCTACACTATGTTTATTCATAAGTAGCTGTAAGAAAAGGCATGATCGCTTTTACATATACTGAGTTACATGCTACTTATTTAGTGGATGAACAGACAAAAAAAAATTATATTGAAAGATTCAGTTGAAATTCTGCAGATGAGATCAGTTGCAGCAGAATTTGGACCCTAATTTCAGACCAAGCAGCTTTCAGATGATACGAACCTGGCGAAGCTTAGAGACGAGGTGAAATCAGCGTCTTAATTTTAGCTCTCACGGTTTCCTCATGACCTGACACTTGCATCAGGTGTAGATAGGTCCTTGCAAACATCTGCTTAGCTATTTTTTTTCCCCTTGAACATCCCTAAAGTCCTCTGTGGGAGAGGTGTCCAGTTTCGGGTGTCTGGTTCCCATCACAAATACCTGTCGCGCGGAGGAGGGGGCCGGGAGCAGAGAAGTGTTTCGGCTTGAGTCCCTCTCCRCGCTAAATGAGCTTTCCAGTCGGAGCCCCGATCATTGCTGGGATCGGTTACATGCAAGGGGAGCTGCTTTTGAACTTGCAGGACAGGGGGGTTTCTTCCTCCACCCCTTTCTCCACTTGCTTCAAGAGTCACTAGCAGAGGTATTTTGCCTCTTGTGCTTGAAAAAAGTACAATTTGCACATAACCTTAAGAATGAAAATGGCTGTCAAAATGGACCTCAGCGAAAGGGCGAACACAACATTAACGGTACATGAATTTGCTCTAAACAAAGACCTGATTGCCTACAGAAAAAATACAAATATTACCATAAAAAGTGGTATGCAGGTATAACTGGCAAGCAGACACACACACAAGGCCAAAAGATGTTCTGCTTTTTTCAGACTTTTCTATAAACTTCTCCTGCGTAGTCCTAGAAACTGAATTTATTCACGATTGCTTTTGATTTATCAGAAGTCARCTTTGGTCGGGAACTGGGGTGACCGAGGGCTTTGAGTGCCCAGGCTGTGCCCTCGAGTCTTTCCTCAGCGGTGAGTGGCAGCGCAGGGCAAACGGGCTGCCGGGGCTGCCGGGGCCGCGCGCCGTCCCCCGCGCCGCTGCACGGCACTCCGGCTCGCCTGCCTGGCAGCGGCGCCGGCAGCTGGCCGCCTTTCTTCTTTTGCTGCTATTTTCTCTATTAAAACATTTGCGCGCTCTCTCTCTCTCTCTCTCTCTTTTTTTTAAACATCTTTCCCCCCAAACTGTTTCAAATAAACTGCTCGCGTCATTTGCCGCTTTAGTGGGTGTTATTTTGAAAACTGGGAGTGTCAGGAAGTTTTTCCTTTATTAAGTAGTGCCTCTGTTTGTTTCTTTAGTAAGAAAGAAAGAAAGAGGAATGTGAGGAGAAGCGATGCCCAAAGGCACTCTGCGCTGCCCACCAGGCTGGCTGGGGGAAGCGCCCTGGCTGGCTTGCTAAATTGAAATAATAGCTTGGACGTTGATGGACAGCAAAGCAAGCAGAGCTGTGGGCTGCTTTGCTGACGTGCATGTTGTGGGCTTGCTTTGCGCCAGCTAAGCTGAACTGTTCAACTCTCAGCAAGACAGCAAGTTAATTAATAAAGTTCCTTAGTCACCGTTGGGCTGCAAGCTAGCAAGGGTCCAGCTTCTGCTTAGGTTTTAGATACAGAAACGTGGTCTTATCTGACTGAATAGTTTCTGTGTTTGTACCCTAGATGTTTTGCTGCTTGAAGTGTGTAGCTTTGCAGGAGAAGGTTTATTTGAAATATTGATCTCTCTGAGCTTTTTGGGTTCCTACCAATATCATAGAATCATTACGGTTGGAAAAGTCCTTCAAGATCATGAAGTCCAACCTCAACACCATGCCTGCTAAACCATGTCCCTAAGTGCATCATCTCCACGTTTCTTGAGCACTGCCAGGGTGAGGACTCCACCACCTCCCTGGGCAGCTTGTTCCAAGGCTGCACCACTCTTTCCGTGGAGAAATTCTTCCTAATGTCTGACCTGAACCTCYCCGAGGGTGCAACCTGAGGCTGTTTCCTCTTGTCCTAGCGCTAGTTATTCTGGAGAAGAATAACTCAGGTAGTTGTGGAGTGCCATAAGGTCTCCTCTGAGTCTCCTCTTCTCCAGACTGAATAACCCCCMCTCCCTCAGCTGCTCMTCAGAAGGTCTGTGCCCCAGCCCCTTCACCAGCATTGTTGCCCTTCTCTGGACTCGCTCCAGCACCTCAATGTCCTTCTTGTAGCGAGGGGCCCAAACCTTAACGCAGTATTTGAGGTGCGGCCTCACTCAGCTCCGCRTACAGGGGGACGATCCCTTCCCTGCTCCTGCTGGCTACGCTGTTCCTGATACAAACCAGGAGGCCGTTGGCCACCTCAGCCACCTGGGCACGCTGCTGGCTCCTGTTCAGCCGGCTCTCRACCAGCACCCCCAGGTCCTTCTCTGCCATGCAGCTCTGCAGTCACTCTGCCCCAGGCCTGTAGTGCTGCTTGGGGTTGTTGTGTCCCAGGTGCAGGACCCGGCACTTGGCTTTGTTGAACCTCAAACAGTTGGTCTCAGCCCATCCAGCCAGCCTATCCAGATCCCGCTGCAGAGCCTTCCCACCCTCAAGCAGATCAACTCCTCAGACACCGCCTCGAAGTGGAAGAATAGGTCGCAGTGGCTCTGCCCTGGCATATTGTTCCCCAAAATGCCTCTTGTTAAGTTGGGCACTCAGCTCTGTCACTCGTGACTGTAACGGGACACGGGGTGACAGGACAGAGCTGTTTCCAGAGCATGACCTGCGGTGGCACGGCTGCCATGCAGCGGGTTGCTATAGCCGCTCCTATAGTCGGCTCCTATATAGCCGGCTCCTAGAGCGCGGAGTGCCCCGCTGGTAGCACAAGCACACGTGGGAGAGTCTCCAATCACAGCATTTAAATCAATGTCTTAATTAAAGTTATCAAGTGAGAGAWTAGGATTAGGGGATTAGAGGAAGCTGTAGTAGGGAATATAACTCTATATAAGAGGTGATACTTAAAACTGTGGGTTAATTAAGTGTGGATTAATGATAGAAGCATGTTTTTGAAATCTGGTTTTAGCAGTACYGCTGGCTCTGGCTCCTCTTTTTCTTTCGCTCCCTGCATGGGAGCTTCTGGGTGGGGATCTGCGGTGTGCGGCAGGGCTGCCCCGTGCTGCGCCCCAGGCTCCTTCTCTCGCCGCGGGGGGCCACCGGCGGGCTGGGACTCTGCGCCTGTCACCGCGGTGCTGGCSACGGTCGGTCCCTCCTCTGGGCAGCGCGTTGATAGAAACAAAGGTTTTAGCTGCACAAGGGGAATAATCTTTTCATGGCAACTCTAGGGCTGCGGTAGTGTCTGTAATACTGAAAGAAATGCTTGCTTCATAAGGAGAAAGCAATTCTGAGAACAGAGGGAAAAACACGGAGTATACTGAGTACTTGCTTCCTAACTTTTTCCTGCCTCCAAGAGCAGCTCTGTAAAATCCATCGGCATGGTCAGATGCCATTTTTTTGTGTAACCCAAACCTGCTTGGCTTGAAAGTGTCTTAACCAACACTACCATGAGACCTCCAGGTAGTATATAAAGGGGGGCACGTGTTACYGGGACTGTTATGGTTTTATTCTGGACTTGCTTACTTGATACTATTTGTTTTGATGCTCTCTTTGTAATTGCTCTTTACATTTTTGGAGATAAATTTCACAAAACTTGCAGTATATCTAAAAGAATAGAAGAGAAAAGTATGGCTAAACCCTGGGACTGCTTTGTTTCTGTTTTAAAAGAAATGAGATAATGTGCCTTTTTTTTCTAATGTTAAGTTAAATTTGTTGCCTTGTTAAATTGGGAACGCCTCACAATAACCATCAGCATTATTTTTTCTCTTCTAGCTGCTGAGTGTGCTGCCTTGCCCCTGGTCTAGCTACAAGTATGACTTGACTGACTTGCATTCATGGCKCTTGGATGATCTGGTGAACCATGGAGCTCAAAGTATGGGTGGATGGAGTCCAGAGGATTGTCTGTGGGGTCACTGAAGTCACAACATGCCAGGAGGTCGTTATAGCTCTGGCTCAGGCTATTGGTAAGTAACTCTGCTACTTGGATTCCCAGGAATGAGGTGAAGCCTTCTATGAATTAAGCTAAATGCAGGGTAGATGGGGTCTTACTTGAATATTAGAACAAAAGCTTATRAAACACAGTAGAATAACCTTGAACAATGTTAGCTTGCAGATTTTCTTTTCAGCTTGCTGCAGATTAAGGAAACAACAACAACAAAACACTGGAATCTGCAAACGTCCATTCTCTAAATAACAGTGGGCTGCTGTTTGCCATTGCAGACGAAGCCTGGACGAAAGACAGTGCTAAGCAGTGATTGTTTGGAGAGCCAAGACACTATTAAAGAGGTGCAAAACAACTGGCTAGCTTACCTGACAGTGATATTAACTAAAACTATACACACTTTAGGATCCTTGTCTGTATTGGGAAGAGATACCCGATCAACAAAATAGGTCCTTCAGGTTCTCCTCTTACTCTTGTATTCCACCTGACCCAGTAAAAGGCGAGTGCCTTGGCGTACTCAGTGTTAGCTGTTCGGGGAACAGTTTATGCAGACATGGAAATCTTTCATGCTCCGGTGCAACGAAGTCCATTCCTTCAGTCTTGTCATATCGTTCCCAGTGGTTAAGGGCATCCTAAATACAAATTCCAACCCTTCTTTGTGTTTCCTGTGCTGAATCTTATTTTCTGCTAAAATTTTATAATTGAGTTTGCACCCTGTTTAAATTTAGACACTGGAACAGCATCTTGTGTAAAATTAAATCCATAATTTAAGGACTAGCTTTCAGTTTCTTCACTATTCCAAAGACTTTGTRGGACTGTGTTAGTGCAGTCCTACTGAATTGCAAAATCATTTATTTTTATACTTTAAAAATAAAGCCAGAAGTATTAACTATATATCCAACCTATAATYGTTGTCACAATTTGTCTGAATTTCTGTATGTTTATTTAGTTAAATATACTTTTGAACATCATTTTCATATACTTTCAGAAGAAAAAGAAGCAGTAGAAATTCAGCGCCTTTTTATTTTGTATCATAAGGGAACTGAACACAATGCTAACTGGTGCATGCGCTGTTTGTGTGCATCAAATACCTTTAAAATGCCCTTCAGAAAGTACAGAGTGTGTCTCTCAAAAATGGATTCAGAAGTTAACATGCTTCTCCTGTGTGTGCTAGTGGCAACCTTTTATTTAATGCTGATCGGTTCATGAATTGCTTCCATCTAGGCTTTTTAGACACTCTTACACCACTGTGTTTATTTGGTAGTGGTGATGGAGAAGTGTTATGTGTAACTACAGTGGGTAGTTTGTGGTAGACTTGTCTGTTCTTTGGAAAACATCTGGAATAATGGAGCCCCCTTTTTCTCCCTTCAGCTTCTATGACAATGTCAAACACCAGTATTAATGACACTTGTCTTTAGGTCTCTCCAAGCCTTTTGTCAGGCCCTTCATCAGAAAAGCAACCATATGTCTGCACCTCTGATTTGGCYGTATGTCCTAGCTTACCAGGAATTACTGTCACTTGAATTTGCATGGGAAGCTATTAAAATGTATTCCTCTGCTCTCACCTGACATTTGGAGGTGGAAAGCAGCCAGTCTTTGCTGGCTTCCTCCTTGGTTGGCTGTTATTTTGTATTTTCCACTTTGCAGTCTGGCTCCTTGAGAAGTCCCATAGCTTAGCAGCAGGGTCTGTCTGCTGGCCTGTCTGCAAAGTTCTTCAGATGCTCCTTTTGTTTTCTCAGGTCGTATAATTTTGTTGCCAGGTCCTTGATGTAAAAGTACTCAAAATGCACAGCCTTCTTCACTCTAAAAATCTGAAATATGGGCTGCAACTGGTGTTATTCRCATTGAAATGCAGCGTTAGGTGCATCTGCAAGTTAACTCTTAACAGCCAGACCTGCTGAAGAAAGTACTTGCCCCTTCCCTTCTAAGACATCCATAGTTCAAGCAGCTTCTTGTGAGCAAACAGAAGCAGCCACTATCCTAGAGGTATGAAAAATAACACTTGACAATTTCTATTTCTAAAATGAAAAAAAATCCAAGTCTGGCATAGGGTCACAGAGTGCTTGAGGTTGGAAAGGGTCTCTGGGGATGGCCTAGTCCTGCCCCTCACCATGTTAAGCAGGGCCAGCTAAAACAGGTTGCCCAGAACTGGCAAAACCAGTCCGGTTCTGAATAGCTCCAAGGGTGGAGAGGTCACAGCCTCGCTGGGCACTCTGCCCCCATGTCCAGGCACCTACATGGGAGGAAAGCTTCCCCCTGCACCCTTAAGTTGAAAGGGAATTGCTTGTATTTCAAGAAGTTTCCTTCCCTGTCACTTGATCAAATGCAGGGCCTGTCTTCTGATCTCCCACTGATAAGGGCAGTGAGAAGGTTTCCGTATCTTGTGGTTCCCAACCCTCCCCTCATGTCATAGAAAGTCAGAAATAACAGAAAACTCTTGGGTTTGGAAGAAARCTTTCTGGCATGCGGAGACATGGCCTTATATTCCAGAGTGGCTTTATTCCAAAATGGCAAGTCAGGCTAAGCTACAATCACTTAAACCAGACTCAGTGCCATAACCAAAGYGTAGCCTAATCCTTTGGCAATCAGTAGGAGTTGTATTACTTTTCCTGTCTATATAGAGCTCCCCGAGCTACTCCTTAGAAACTGATGTCTGTTACTATTATTGAGGTAGGGGACAGGCCCACATATCTTTCTGGTTTCCCTCCCTCCCTGAGACTGTGCTGCTGATGGTTGTCATCTGGCACCTGGTCTTGCATTAGAAGCTCCTGCCCCCACCGCCTCTCTCCTGAGCGTTTAGGAACAGTGAATGATTCTTCTCCAAGTTTCTGTTCAAATTAGGTTTTATTTCTGTTTTACTTGAAGCCAAAGAGTCAAATTTCAATCCTTATTCAAAAAAAAAAAAAAAAAAAAAAAGTATTTTGGCAATCCCAGTCAAGCTATTTTAAAAAACATGTGCATATATTTTAATGAATGAATGAGAGAATGCTAGCAGATAGATGTCATTTTGGATGCTAAAATTGATGGTGTCTCCAAGTTAGGAGGAGTTAGAAATGCATTAGCTGGAGGGAGGGTCTCTGGAATTCAAGAAAGACATAAAACTATCAAGCTGCAAGTTTCCAGAGAATGAAATCACCTTCCAGTGGGATCTCAGAAAACTCATAAAAGGTAATATTGTTACCCAGTACTGTTTTCCTTCTTTCCTTCTGCCTTTCTCCCTTTCTTTCTTTCTTTCTCTCTCTCTCTCTCTCTCAATCTGCTCGCTGATTACCAAGTAACAGGAAGACTTGACCTTATAACACAAGTCAGAGAAATGATCTTTTTCAGGTTTAGAAACTAAGTCGTCACCAAAATAAACCGCAGCACCCAGCTTAAYGGAAGAATCATATATCTTTCTTTCAAAACACTTTTGCCAGGAGCCAACCTAAAGAACACGTGTTAGCTGATAGATTAGGCAAATACGGCTGTAAAAGGTTGTGTTTGTTTGGTTTTGTTTTGTTTCATTTTTAGGTTATTTCTAGTAATTTTGACTTTTGCTAGATACTTTCCATTGAAATCTAAAAGAAAAATCCTCCAGAGGAATATGTTGATTAGCACAGAAACAAATACTCTTGGCCTCTTTTTTTTTCTGTTTGTCTGTTTTCTGGAAGTGATTTCTTGCCAGTTCTCCCCCGGACTGCATTTTTGGGGGATTTCCTTCCCCTCTGGAGATTAGAATGGATCCTCTCTGGCCAGAATGACGTGTGTGTTTCCCAAGAATATTTCAGTGTGCAGAATTTGAGCTTGAACTTCTCAGCAAAGTCCTAATTTCCAGTGGTAGATAATTAAAACAGCAGAATTGCWTGAAATATTGCTATGGATTAGGACTCTCTGGCTATATATCAGGAGAATATAGCTCTGTCTCAGGAGAATATGGACTCTCTGAGCAAGAAGTAAAGCTGTCTATTTACAATTAAGCAATGCAGCTCTCAGTTCTTTATTGCTGTTGAGGATTTTTCCTCTAAGATTAAACAGGTAATTAATAAAAAACATTAATAAAAATGAAGCTCTCCATGCTGTTTCAAGCATGTGTTAGGGCATTATAAGGCTCAGGCACAGCTGTATTTGGAAAATTCACCTCACTTTGTCGCTCTCCTCCCCTCCTCTAAATAACTTCTGCTAAAGCAAGTGCCAGAGCTGGCTGTGAGAGCCCCCAAGGGAGAGGATCTTGGTGGGACGGAATCACCTTGGCCAGGCTGCCTCCCTGGCTCTCCCCTGCTCCGCTTTATCTCCGCAGGAGATCGGTCCGCCGGGCACACGCTGACTTCRGGGGGCTTTGAAAGGCAACAGAAAGGATGACAGGATTTTAAGTGCGTTGTTCTGCCAGGTTGTGATAAGCTCTATATGCTTTCATTTAAGAGAAGAGATAATAGTAATAAACCGTGGCTTCAGTCCCGATAAGGGCTTGTAAACACATTTTGCATGCGGTCAGACCAAGTGGAGACTGCATAGAGCTCCCTCACTGGCAGTAGGTGTGAGCATGTCTTTCTGTGGATGTCTTCCCTTAGGACAGGACTGCTATTCTGATTTCTGTTGTTTTAATAGCTCTGAGTAATAAGAGTTCTCTCACCTCTATTTTAAAGACTCTTTTAATCACTCTTGTAATTTAATGAATTCTCAGGTAGCCAAAACGCTGTTTCTTAAATTGATGTAGGTGTTAACTGAAGTATCGCATAATATCAGCCTCCTATTTCAGAGGGATTGAGTTCAAATCATAATGGGTTTATTAAAATTACCAGCAGTTACTTTTCCATCCGTGCTGTTAAAGATTCAAGAGCAAATGCTGTTGCTGCTTTGGTGAGGCAAGCTATTTTCTCTGAACCGTTCTGCCCTTTCCAAGATATAACTCTAAGACTGTCCCTGTCCCAGAAAGRCTTTGCATGGATAGGCTCCTGCGCTCTTTTAGAGGCAGGACAGGCATTAACCTTTTCTGTGTCGACAGTATTGATAATAGAGCAAGAGTCCTATCAGAGGTGGTGCAGCAGAAGTGTTGCTACTGCTGCTTTCCCTTTGAACTGTCATTTTGGTTGCAAAAATAGTTGCATTTCTGTATTATTGCAACTGGAAATGCATATTGAGAAGCATTAGAAGAGGTTGTACCTCCTACCACCTTCATGGAGTATAATTTAAAATCCCACCTCTCGAGAGTCTAAAAAACACAGTTGCAAGTCAACAGCTCCTCTACCTCATTAGTTTAATCACAGTTCACCTCATTAGCTTAGTCACAGCTCACTGTGATCTCAGTGCTGAGAYCCTCCTAGCGAGGTCAGTCCCCAGCTAAGGCTGCCGCGGGTGGGCAGATGAAAGGGGCGCTCAGCCCCAGAGCTCCGTGTTTGCCTCTGCAGAAGAGCAGCAGCYGACCTGGGGCCCCGGCTGCTGGTAACTCCTGAATGTGCCATTGAAAAAGTTGGAGCTGCGGGCGTTAGAAAGAGCTGGCTCCAAACCCTGGCGCACGGGCTCTTCGCCAGCGTAGCTGCGGRCGCCCGGGTCCGGGAGGCCTTCTCCCTCTTTGATCTCCCCTGCTGTTATTTGCAAGGTTGCTTGCAAGGCATTTCTGTATTAATGGAAACTGCAATAAGCCYGTGTGCTTAGCTAGCCTAAGGCTCAAACCTGACCCGCTCAATCTCACCAGTGATCCTTAGTGCAGGTGCACTGTGCTTTACATACCGAACGTATGGGTGCTTCTGGGGCAGCTGGGAATTCACTTCCTCACACCACAAATAGGAATTCTTGTTGGTCATCTAGAGAGAGAAATACTGCATGGTGCCCAGCAGATTGGGTGGGTCCATGCAGAGTATTAACCAAAGGCAACGTGGCCCTGAGGCAGCACAGAGACCCTGTGCCGCATGGCCCTGAGGCAGCACAGAGACCCTATGCCGCTTTCCAGCCCTTGATCCGCTGTGGGGCACAGAGCAAAGGGGAGCTCAGCACAGGCCCTGTGTGGCGCTGGCTGCATAACTTGGTACCGTTCCTCTTGGGACACTACAAGTGTCCAAAAATAAAGTTACTCTAATGTGGTATGCTGCTGTATCATAAAGACGACAAAAAAAAAAAAGATATTTTTGAAGCTAAGGGGCCCCGTCCAACCAGCCCCTTGTGAACATCAGCACAGTACTTGAGGCTGTGCTTTGGTAGCTCCTTGTAGCGAGTGCTTAACTGCTCATTGAACTTCCTTGCCTGCACATATTTTATAAATCTGCAGAAGATTAAAGGTGTGGTACAACTCTGAAAAAATAGCATAGGATTTAATAAATGCTTAAACACTGATAGGGGCCACATTACCTGAGKGCAGCTGCCTCCTTGTAGGTGGTGGCACATCAAAAATAGCAGTTATGCGGCTGTCCATGTTGTGAAAGGTCCTGCAGTTAGTTTTGAATTGACTTGTCCCCTCTTTCATCAGTGAATTAACAGCACCTGGGCAGCCACAACTGTGTTTGCCCACAGGAGGAGGGATTAATCAGGATCAGCAGTAGCCTGAGTAGCAGTAATGATCCCAGCTGAGAATAGCTTTGTTTTGGGCTAGGCCTGAGCTTCCCGCGTGGCTGCTGAACTGCATAAATTCTGCTGCAAAACACCATCCTCTTTGTGTGGCTCCTGAAGGCTGAGTTCATTCCCTAGCACCGTKGGTTGATTGGGGCTGTAACCAGGATGGAAATAGTTCTTGGCAAGTGCTTCATTTAGTTATTTAATTCAGTTTTGGTTGAGATTGCTAGGGGTTTTTTTTTTTTCCCCTTCTTCTTTCATTTTGTTATGTTTAAGTAGTGTGTTCAGCAGCGGAGCGACTGGAAATCGTGTGCTGATCATGCACCTCCTGGCGTTCTGGTTACAATTTTAAGACATCTTTGAACTCTTCTGTTTCTGACACAACAAGAAGTTTAGTAGCATTACCGTGATTGCAAACTGCAGGCTGAAAGCTTTTAAGATTAACAAACTAGAGTGGTAAAATGCCACCTTTGTCCTGTGTTCTGCAGGTTGCTTTTACTTCACTTTTCTTCTTTGGGGTGGTATTGTCAGCGTGCCGCAGTGAGCGGCACTACGTTTATTTTTCCTGTAATGGCCACTGCAGACTCTAAATCTGCATGAACCGCTGCACACTGTTGTGGGCTGGCAAAACTCTCTGATTTTGAATCTTGGCGCAGTAAACTCATTCCTAAAGTGCTTTACATCTATTTCTAAGGGGGTTGGCCAAGAAGGTTGGTATGTTGATAGTTTTTTTTCCCTTAAACTTTCAGCGCTTACCCCGAGTCATTTATTTATAAGGTATTAAGAATTTGGTTTTTTTTTTTCCCCCTGCTGCTTCCTGGTTTTGACAACTACTGTCGGTCMAATCTTGATGCTCTCCTTTGAGCTCCTGCTCCTAACTTGGAAGTGAACACAGGGTGTTGCTCTCGTTGCTGTTGTTGTTCTCCTGTTTGGCTACTGATTACGGCTAGTGTGACCCATCAGCCAAAGCAGCCTGTTCTCTGGTTAGTGCCTGTCRAGCTGATCTTTCTGGTTCTTCTAGTGTTGTCTGGTGTGTCACAGCTGGCTGTGAGAAAGAAAGTGAGACCAGAGGAAGAAAACCCATTATTTGGGGAGCCACTAGTGATARCATCTAGTCCTCCCCATTGCCCAGTGGCATAAGGGGCTGGTTTTTTGAGCAGTTGTGACAAAACAAACCTGTATTTAAATGATAGKCCATCATGGAAGTCTGTGTGTGCATGTATAACATTAAAGCAGCTTTCTCCATATTTTCTTTAAATTTCCTATAAGGTTAATGGTAATTGCAGAGCTGTACTGAAAGCCACTGGGATAACTGCTTTTAACAGGGGTTAATCTTTCCAATCTTCCTGTAAACAGTGCTGCAGCTTTAGAGTAAAGGCGCTTTCCTGATAAAAGAAACTGGCTTTGCCCTGCGCTTGGCCAGCCCTTTATCACAGGGTAGGAGGGGCGGTTAGAAATAATAAAGCAATTAGTGCAAACCACAGATGCTGCCTTTTTTTTTTTTTTTTTTTTTTAGGCACTCCATAGGGAGTGTCAGAGGAAAAGGACGCTTAAGCTCAATTACAGGTGTTTGGCAGCCCAGTTTAATCCTTAGATGCAAGGTATGCATCTTGCTACTATTGAAAGCAAGCCACACTGCGCTGTGCAGCCAGCAGTTTCTACAGGGCTCACAAAGCAGCACAGCAGCCAGCAAAGGAGTGGAGATTCCCAGCGTCTTCCCGAACCCTGTATATCCTGCGAGGAGATGCCGAGTTGCTCTCGCGGGTGGGAGCCTGCGCAGGTGGCCAGAGCGGCTGCTGCTGTCAGGGCCRGCAGGCTCCGCGGTCCCTTCCGCGCGCTCTGCTCTGCCAGGTGGGGAGTCRGGCTGACCGTTAGCCCATGGATGATGCTGTTTAACAGCAGATATGTTAAGAATGATGTTTGAGTTCCCGCGGGACGGGGTCTGTGCTCGCTCTCCCCGCCGGGCGCGTGTGGCGGCGCAGGAGAGGCCGGGCCAGACTCCCGGCTCCGGGTGAGCCCGGGTGCAGCGCGGGGCCCGCCGGGGCGGAGCGGTGCTCGGCCTCGCCGCGCGGTCCGGCTGCGCCCTCTCCGGGCTGGCGCCGCTCACGGCCTCTCTCGCTGCCCGCAGGTCGCACGGGCCGGTACACGCTCATCGAGAAGTGGCGCGACACGGAGCGGCACCTGGCGCCGCACGAGAACCCCATCGTGTCGCTCAACAAGTGGGGCCAGTACGCGAGCGACGTGCAGCTCATCCTGCGGCGCACGGGGCCCTCGCTCAGCGAGAGGCCCACGTCGGACAGCGTGGCGCGCGGCCCCGAGAGGACGCTCTACCGGCAGAGCCTGCCGCCCCTCGCCAAGCTGCGGCCCCAGGCCGACAAAGCCATAAAGCGGAGGGAGCCCAAGAGGAAATCGCTGACGTTCACTGGCGGCGCCAAAGGGCTAATGGACATCTTTGGTAAGAGTAAAGAGGCCGAGTTCAAGCAAAAGGTGCTCAACAACTGCAAAACGACGGCAGACGAGCTGAAGAAGCTGATCCACCTCCAAACGGAGAAGCTTCAGTGCATTGAAAAGCAGCTGGAGTCCAATGATGCCGAGATCCGCTACTGGGAGCAGAAGTACAACTCCAGCCTGGAGGAGGAGATTCTCAAGCTGGAGCAGAAGATTAAAAGGAACGAGGTRGAGATCGAAGAGGAGGAGTTCTGGGAAAACGAGCTGCAGATCGAGCAGGAGAACGAGAAGCAGCTGAAGGAGCAGCTCCAGGAGATGAGGCAGCGGATCCTGGAGTGCGAAAGCAAGCTGAAGGAGTACTTGTCTCAGATCCACAACATGGAGAGCGGCCTGGAGGCAGAGAAGTTGCAACGGGAAGTTCAAGAACCCCAAGTGAATGAAGAAGAGGTCAAAGAGAAGATCGAGAAGGTGAAAGGCGAAATTGATGTTCAGGGCCAGCAAAGCCTGAGATTGGAGAACGGCATTAAAGCTGTAGAAAGGTCTCTGGGCCAAGCCACCAAACGGTTACAGGTAAGAACACCCTTTCTATCTATAGCTATAAAGCTGGTTGTAGTGAATTTTTAGCTCTGCTCATAAGGCTGTTGTTCTGAAGAATAGCACCTCTTATTTTTTGACTTACTGGTGCTCAGGATTTTTCTCTCTCCACCTCAGGCTGTTGTGGCACATATGTCACCAGCGAATCTCATTCATGTATCACTTACTCTTTTGCACTCTTAAATTCTAGATACAGAATGGAAATCCATTTTGTAGCAGAGAGGTGAATGAGAGACGGACTCTGGGGATCAGACTTGACTGACTTCTGGTGGTTTGAGGTGCTGTACACCGTGGGATGGAGGCTTTGTGCATCAGTTGAGTTGTGGTTCTTGTTGTATTTCCACCACTCGAAGTTACTGCAGCCCACTGCAGTACCGCAGCTGCAGCAATGTGGTTCTGCTGTTGTAGAATCTGCACCCGATGTGCAAAGAGATTTTGCATTCTTGCTCCTGTCCTCCCAGAACCACATCCATTTAAGCTGTTTTCATGAAACAAAGGGAGAAATGTAACCTGCTCTTCCAGAGCAGAATGAATGAAAAGTGTGAGCAGTTCTGGCCCTAAACTCCCTAATAAATAAATAATAGAACTCCCTAAATAGCTTCACAAACGGATATGAATTTAGGAGATGAAGCCAACTGGATTTGGGGAGATACTTAACAGATTTTTTTTTAACCTTGTCTCCTGTGAAAATTGAAAAATCTCAAAAATTGAAAAATGAGCTTTTTATGATATTGCTTCTGTTGCTTTGCATATTTACTGTTCAGAAAATCCCATGGGACACCAAGCTGCAGGATTAAYGTGTTCGTAAACAAATACAATTTGAGAGTTTGTCTCCTGAGTACCCAGATGTAGAATCTAATGGATGTAAAATAAATTGTGGAGAGTTTTTTTTAGGGTCACCTAGATTTTGGAACAGGCATGACTTCCATTTCTCAGTCCTGTTCCTCTAAAAGTTCTTAGCAAACAAATGGAAATAAAAATTAGTACGGCAAGCTGAGGCCAGCCCCATGATCTGAGTAGCTTTAAACGGATCTAATAGAAAAGCATCAGTGACAAAGCAACTGGCATTTAAAAGGTCTTAACAAAASTGAAGGCTCAGTTATTTTTCCCACTATCTGTTGAACTCCAGCTCAGTAGCAACTTAGGCGCAAGTTTAAAGCCAGCAGAGGCTCCGCTGTTCGTGGGCCGTTCCTAGGACTGGTCTCTGCTGCCTGTTGGAGCTCCCGTATAACCGTGCGGAGCAGCAGCTTGGCAGCCTCCCCGTGTGGCTAGAAGGAGCATGTAGAACAAGGGCGATGGATGGAGGTGGCCACGGGCACCCTGCCCACGGGAGATGCAGGCCCTGCTGCTAAGGGATCTGTTGAGTGGAGGGGAACCCTCAGTGCAAGAATATCTACTGCAGCTCTGGGCTCTGCACATCTCGGCAGAATGAGGCTGTTGAGGAAGATCATAAAAGATGAGACGAGGGGTTGGTGAGCGCCCCAGGAGCTGGGCCGCATTCTGTGAAGCACAGCATGCTTGTGGGTTATGTGGAGATTGACACTTTAAACCAAAAATGCAAAGAGCAAAAGAAAGGAAATAACCTCYGTTTAGCAGCAGCAGCAGAACTTACCAAGCGGTCCAAGTCATGCTGCCCTTTCCTGTGGGGCCAGGAGCTGATGCCAGAGCGGTGCTGGGTTGGTGCATTTTTCATAGTACTTGTTATTACCTATATTCGCTCGCTTCTGTCGTGCCAGCATTATTCTCAGATGACATAAGAAACATCTGCTAGTGCTTCAAGGAGCAATATAAGTAGACCAGTAGTAACCCATAGCAGGTAATACTTAGTGCTGATTTGCTTTGTAAATCACAAGAGTAAAATACCTTTTATCGGTCATTTGCCCCTGAATTTACAAATCAGGACTTCTCCATGCAAGGGAGAGCAGGGCTGCCCAGCCAGTGCCCAAGGAAGGGCTCAGCTGCTGCCTGCGTCTGCTGCTGCTTACTGCCCCTTGCTCTCCCCCAACAGGACAGGGAGCAGGAGCTGGAGCAGCTCACCAAGGAGCTGCGGCAAGTCAACCTGCAGCAGTTTATCCAGCAAACAGGCACGAAGGTCACGGTGCTGCCCGCCGACCCCGTCGAGGTGGAGGCCCCGCACGCCGAGCTCCAGAGAGGTGCAGTGCTCGGGGCTTTTGCCCTTCTCGGGCAGAAGGGAGAAGGGGAGGGCGACACGCTTACCCGCTGCGTTAACGCTGGTGGCCGTACATCAAGCCAGCTCTGTTGGCAAAGAAGCTAGTGTGACRTGAAGAGGACGTGGTTTCCAGTGCGTCCCTCCCTGCCAAGGGCTAGCAAGCTACAGCTAAACAGTGGGTGACTCTCAGCTCCCGCCGTGCACGAGCTCGCTTGTGCCGCCTGTAACCTGCTGGGCGGCAGGCAGCGAGACGCCGTGCGGCACCGCCGCTCAGCTGCAGTCCCGTCCGCTGGCGGGACGTGCTCTCAGAGGGGAGAAGGAATGTGTCTGGATCCTGAGGAATCCCAGCCAGCAGCCGTACAGGAGCGGGAGCTAATCCGCCTGGGCCGCCAGCCACGCACCGGCCCTGCCCAGCTGGCTGCGGCGCCCTGTGCGATCAGTGCCGCGCGTGCCGAGCGCTGCACACAGGGCCGCTGAGGTGGGAGCGGGGCGGCGCTCCGGGCGCTCCTCAGAGAAGCTCCCCTGGCTCCGTGCAGCCTCCAGCCCTGTCGCATTTTCCATGGGGCATGCTGGAGGGGGCAGCAGAAGGCGACAGCATCCGTGTTCTGATGCTGGCCTTTTAAGGACAAAAAGGTTTCTTTTAGGGACCAGAAGTGGGAGATTCGAATGTGCATTGGCACGAGCTCTTTCTGCGCATGGCTGTACAAACCCCTGCAGGTTTCTGCATGTTTAGGGGTGGGTAGTTACCCTGAGGGCTTGTGTCTGCTTTAAGGTGGTAGGAAGCGTGTGCCTTAGGTCTCCGTCGCTTCCCACTCTGGCACCTGACTTATTGGCCGCATGTGACATGTTTTTCCTGCACCACACTGAAGGGGACCCACAAAGAGGAGGCCGAGGTGTGTTCTACAAGCCTCGCCCTTGAGGGGTTTTCTAACTGTCTCCTTTCTTGTGCAGATGCAACGTTTCAGTCTGGCTCACTGAAACGCCCCGGCTCCTCAAGGCAACTCCCCAGCAACCTTCGGATCCTGCAGAATCCCCTGTCGGCYGGTTTTAACCCGGAGGGCATTTACGTATGACAGTGCATACCTCTCTGGAGAGCACCTAGGAAGGTACCCCGGACAAGAGACACTTTTTATTCTACCAGTGATGAGTGGAAGAAGCTTTTCTGTTAAGCCACCACACTTCAATTTTTCTTCTTCCTCTGACACGCCACTTGGAGCCATACCCTGTGCACTGATGCTAAAGAACAGAGGACCCATTTCAACTCCCACCTGGCAAAAATGAACTTGCTGTCACATGGCTAGAATGCAAAAGCCTTCACTTATTTTTGCCACTTTGGAAGCATTTGGGAAAGTATTATTCAATGTATAGGCATAAATAAAAGACTAGAGCAGGGTGAAGGAAATGGTGTATGCAACTGATCCGAGGTTTAATTTATTCCCTTTAATCAATGGACATGTGAATGTTGACCTTTTATATTTTTTATTTTTAACTTGTGAATAACCATGTACTCTGGTACATCGGTCTGACAAGGTGACTTCATTTGTGTACAAACCTCCAGCATTTGGTCAAGTAGAACAACTTGCAATGCAGAGTGTTTTGTGGAGTGTGGAACCCTTTAAATGTCTTATTTTTTTCACCACTGATTGTGTTGGTTTCTGTTGTGGCTCACCCTACGTCACGTCCCATCCATTGCTACCTTTTAAGGCCCGAAAAGTGAATTTGTGGGGTTTACTTGCTGCTGAGTCTGCCTTGACTGAAGCACCTAGTGTTCAAAAGATTTATGGAATTTAAACCTTGTCTTGATAAGAATATTTCCAGCATATGATTGAAGATGCACTAGCTAGATGATATTTTATTATATAGAATGTATATTTGAAATATTTTGCCACATTGTATATGCCTTTTGAGAAAAAGAACAGTGTAAGAAGTTGTCTTCATAAGTCTTACCAGAAGAGGCGAGGAGGCTTTCACTGTGTGTGATTTCTGTACTTTAGTTTTTCCACTAGCCAGTACAGTGTTCTTGTTTTGCAGTAACTCGAGTCGGTGGAGGGGAGGAGAACAAAACAACTGCACAACCTCTTCCAGAAATCCCTCGCGTTCTGTGGTGGAGAAGGGGCCTGGAAAGGCTCCTGGGAGGTCCACAGCAGAGCCGCTGCTGCCTTGAGCGGGGCCAGGAGCCCTCTGCAGGTCCCCAGGGCTCTGTGGTAAAACCGCCAGCCCCTTGGAAAGGTCTGTTGCTCTCGAGCGCCCTTCAGAACGTGAATGTGCAGGGAGGAGCGGGAGGAGCTCCCCACGGTTCGTAGTGCACCTCACTTATGCACCTCATTTACCTTTTGCAACAGCACGTGGAGGGACTGCATGAGAGTGGCCTCATGCTATTTAATGCTATCAAAACTAACCACGGGTTAGAGAGGGAAAAAAAAGAAAAAATGGCAGGTGTAGAGAAAGATGCTGGGATTGATTCAAACAGATGTGAAGTTTGTAGAGTCAGGGGTGTGAGGAGCYGAGCCCCAGAGCTGGCCTGGGCGGGTATGAGCTTTGCCCAGCCCTGCTTGGCTTTCCTCCTCCGGCAGCGAGTGTCCAGGCTGTGCCCTCCCCTAGGCCTGGGAGGCAGCCACGGAGCTGTCGGGACCCTGCTCAATACCTGGGTCCTGAGAGCAGGAGCCCCTGCCTGCGGGCAGTGGTGGGCCGGTGCCATGGCAGAACTCCCTTGGCTGTGGTAGGATCGGGATGTTGCCACCGGTCAGGAACCTCCAAGCTTTTCACCACAGAAAGTTCTTTAAAATTCTTCACCCTTAGCAACCTCTTATGTGGATTTACTGATCTGCAGTAAATGTTAAATAACAGCTGCGGGGGGTTTTGTTTGTTTGTTTCTTTACTTTTTTTTTTTTTAAGGAGCTTCCTCATCCTCCTGACATGTGGAAGTCTTACAAGATATAGCAGAAGATGAAGGACTCTTAAGTGTTAAATGCATTTTTCCCTTTTCACTTCTTAATGGCATCATATATTTCAAAAATGCTGCTGTATTTAGACTAACAGCAACAGATCAGGCTGTGAATATATAAAGGACCTTTTCAAATGGCCTCTGGATTTTTACTGTCCAACTTGTCAGGTCGGYCCTGTGAGCAAACTGGAAAAGGAGATGTTCTTACCCCAGCAGTCTTTGCAGTGCTCACAGGTTTTACTGTTAGTGTATCACAAGTCTGTGCTCATGTTTACTGTGCCCATAACTTTCTTTGTATGAAAAAGAGAATGTGTGTGTGTATATATGTGTGTATGTGTATATATTTATATATATGCACACATTTTATATATAAAGAAATATCAGTGCAAACTATACATAGTTTGGGGACAATATATGTCCAAGGTACTTGAGCATATATGCCTTACATTCTGGGTTCAATTTATAGAAACAAACCAGCCCTCCTGCAGAGATTTTGCATCTTCAACACCTTTTGATGTTAGAGAACTGAAGACACTCAGCACCTTGCAACGTCTGGCCCAAATTATGCTGCATAAGGGAGAAAAACATGCAGAAAAGCTTGTTCCAAACTCGGCTACGTACTGAAACAAAGCATTTTTAAGGCAGGTTTGCTTATTTATGCAGCCAGTGATTTTGTCATGCTTCAAGTGCATCTCCCACAGTTTAAGTTGGAGCTGAATTGGGCTCTTTGCTCATAAAAGCTGTGCTCTTTCTCTGCCAGACTATCCCTTGAAAGGGAGAGAGGAGGGAAAAAGGTGTTAAGGGGCAGGAGAAGGGGGCTCGGGAGGGCACGAGGTAGAGGGGCCTGTGCGGAGCGCGGCGGCTGCTGCAGCCTCRCGTGGCCCCCCTGCCACCCCTGCAGCTTTCGTCAAGGTGACCTGAGAAGGGGGGCAGCTGCGGCCGCCCTCGTGGCCGGGAAGGGCCCGGAGGGCCTCGAGCTGCCCCKTGGGGCAGAGGCGAAACGTTTCCCCCCAACACGCCGCCCCTGGCACTCACTGCGCTTCATTCCCCCAGGGAAAAGCTCGGCAGCRTTTTCACCACCTCTGTAAATAAACCAAAAGGAAATGGCATGTCCTCGCATTAAATGTGAAGTGAGCAATGTATTACCACCCTTAAAAGTTCCTCACGTTATAGCGTTCAGAGTTTTGCTTCTGGTCGACTTCAGAACCTCACTGTTTTTCTTTCCAGAAGCAGGAATACTCATTTCCAGAAGTGTTTCACACCTGCTTATGGGGCATTAGCAGAAAGGAAAGCTGCTCATACTAATTTTAACAAGTGCCATATAATGTACTGGCCAGCATGATAAATACGGAGGGTTTTTCTGCATTAAATAGTTGAATACACAAGCACTAATTTTCCAGTGCACAGGGAATTTATATGGAGAATTCTTTTTACTAATGGGAATTAAATGTGTTACCTCTCGCGTCCTCGAGGATACAGTTCATTTTTGCTGATCATGCTATGTTGCTGAGGGAAAGGGAGAGCGACTGTTGGGAAAGCAGGTAGGTTAAGGCTAGTGGGGAAAAAATAAACACTTCTAAATGCCCAAGCTAGGGAGAAAGTAGAGTCCCGCCTTGAAAAGCGAGCTAGGAACCTACCTCCCATTATCCTGCAGTGGGACTTAGGCTCCCAAGTGCCTGAATCGCTTCTGAAAATGCTGTGGCAGCTTCCAGCATCCTGGTCTTTCGTCACCCCTGGAAGCTGCTCCAGGAGAGAGCTACCGCTAGCATTAGAAATGCCCAAACGTGCCCTGTGTGAGGGAGGAGGGGAAGGAGCCTGGAGAGAAAGAAAAATCTCTTTGGGGGGGCGACAACTGCCGCCTTTTGGCCCGCCGGGTGYTGCGTTACTCTGGTGAACCGGGATCGCAGGAGGCCGAGCAAAGAACCGAGCTCGTCATTTTTAGTGGGTTACCTTGAAGCATATAAATTCCTGATGTGCATTAACTTGCGTGAATTGGGCCTTAATGATCCGTGTAAATAACAACTGTATTCAGATATTTTTCCAGAAAATAGTCTCTAATGGTCTGTACTGTATTAAAAGAAGTGTCAAAGTGTTACTTTTATATTACACTTTTTTTTTTTTTTTTTTTTTAGAACATTGAAACATGCATGTCTGTTCTATTTGCTACAGTATTTTAATGTTTTGGATGAAGGCCATCAGCTGTTTGGAGATGACAAAACAATCATTCTGTCTATTTATTCAGTATTGCTGCTTAAAGTTTTCAAAATAAAGCTTTCAATGCAAATATAGTGACTGATTGAAAGCTGTTCTAGCTCTGCTCAGATGCTTTTTTTTTTTTTTTTTTTTTTTTGGTATGTTTATAGAAAACTAAGCGAGTGCAACTTGGTGTATGAATTGTTCCAGCAGCAGCAGAGAACTATTGCAATAATGTTGTGGGGAGAGTGGGGGGGCGGGGGTGTGCGGTGTGTGCAGAGATACCTGCCTGCAGCGGAGGCGCTCAGGGCTCCAGCACGCGGAGTGCTGGCCAGTGTTGAAATCCGTCGCTGTCCTGCAGGCAGCCCGTGCACGTGGTCGAATCCTGGCTGCTGCCTGACACGCGTGTGCTGYGCTTACGAGAGGCTGAAACGGAGCCGTGGTCAGAAAGGCTGGGTTAACTCGGAGCCCTTTGGACCGAACGGGGTTTCGACGCGGTGCTGGGAGTGCCACAGATGTGTTCCCGAGGCTGGAGCCTCTGAGAGCGCCGCGGAGCAGGGAGCATCCAGCTGCAGGGAATGTTCACCCCGGGGACCTGAGCACCCCTGGAACTGCTGCCGGGGCGCTCGCCACAGGACACGAGTTGCTGAAGCTTTAACTCGGAGAGGCAATGCAAACTAACTGTGAAAACACAAGGGAGCGTTTTAGTACTGCTCTGCTTCAATGCAAGATGACATTCTGTATTATATGTAACTATTTTTTTTTCTTTGTCATTTAAAAAGCTTCTATTTTTTGATTATTCTCATGAATGGTTGATAAAAGATATTGAATATGCACCCATACAATAAATTCCCCTGTGAAACTCTGAGTCTTTACAGTTCATGGTTTGCTGGAATTGCACAGTACATCCCCGACACGTCTCGTGACGCGGCTGCTAGAATCGCTCCCCGTCAAAGAACATTGCGTTGGAAAGGAGGCCGCGATCCTGCTCTGTGCTCGCGTCTCCAAACGGCACAGAAATGGCCCTGCCAAATACCAAATCCAGGGAGGGGAGGTGAACCCACAGGCTTCACAGGAGGGAAGGGGAAAAAACACGTAGGCTTCAGGCAGCAGGAAGAAATGGAGCTTTGGACAAGCAGCTGAGGGCCAGATTCATAGAATCACAGAATCACAGAATGCCCAAGGTTGGGAGGGACCTCAGAGCTCATCCAGTCCAACCCCCCTGCTCACGCAGGGTCACCCAGAGCACGGGGCACAGGGCTGCGTCCAAGCGGGTTTTAAAGATCTCCAGAGAAGGAGACTCCACAACCTCTCTGGGCAGCCTGTGCCAGGGCTCTGGCACCCTCCCTGTCGAGAAATGTTTCCTTAAGTTCCTGGGGAACTTTAGATGCCTCAGCTTGTGGCTGTTTCCTCTAGTCCTGTCGCTGGCCACCACTGAAAAGAGGCCGCCCCCTCCTCCTCACTGCCTCCCTTGAGGTATCTATAGACACTGATGAGGTCCCCCCTCAGCCTYCTCTTCTCCAGGTGAGTTAGATGAGTTCTTGTGCTGACAAGGGGAGGGCCGGGGAAGACGGTTTCAGCCAAGGCAGGGAGCTCTCCACCGCCCAGCACTGGTGGTCAGAGCCACCCAGACACAATTTGCAGTCAGACATCCCAACAAAAGATTTCTCCCGAAGCCAGCTGGGTCTACGCCAATTTGCTGTGGAGAGGAACTGGCCAACAGCAGGAGGCAACAAGGAAACCGTGCACGGTGGGAGCCTCCCTGAAGCCCTTACAAGGGGAGCCCATGGTGGCAGGACCCGTGGGAGCTGCAGAGCACCTCTGCCCCTCAAAGATGCTCTTTTCTGCCCTGGTGCAAGTCAAGGGGCTGYTTTGCCGTGGCTCCCCAGCACACTCCATGGAGCCGGCGGCTCGGCTACGGGCTCCCATCGTTCGCTCTGCCTTCAAAGAGCACCAGGGTGGCGCGGGTGACACTGCTGCCGCGCTAACTAGCTCGGGGCAACCAGACCACTAATGACTTGCAAAGCCAAACCAGGGGCCCATCGAGGTTAGAAGCCACCCTGATTTCTTCTGCCTGTCTCATCCTTGACAGCTAGGTGGTATTTTGTCTAATTCCCGTTTTTAATGATCACTTCAGCTTAAAGTGTCTGCTGGCTGAAGTAAGGAGCAGGGATCAACAGTCCCCATTACTGCTTTTCCCGAAAGTTTTATAAATTTGCTACCTTTGGTGGTGTAGCTAGTGCTAATAAGTGGATATTTTTTAAGACCGCCACTGCTCCATCATYAAGTTTTTCCAGACATCTTGGCTGGAAGCAACCTTAGCTGGTGAGTTTGTTGCTGGTGAGCAGCCTCTCCACTCATATGGCCGAATCCCACACATGGGTCTGCCCTCCACTGCCTCTGGGCTAAGGCAGAGTCTTCCTTTCTTGCCTGTCTTACCTCCTAGGGAGGCTTTTCCCAAGTCYCTGGCCATGGGAGATCCCTGCAGTCTCTCACGGGGTGAGACCGTGTCACTGCAGCAACCGTTTTCGTTCGGTTATCGACACGCTGGAGGGGAGGGGGTTCAGCTTCAGCAGAAGGGGGCTTCAGCTGTGAAAGCTGGCGGCTGGGTGTTAATCTCCACTATTTGCTCTGATCCGCGTGGATTTGCAGATATAACCTTGGCTGACGTGGGCTGCCAGTGATCCGAGTCATGGCTGTATCAGGGAGGAACAGTTAAAGGGAAGAGTGGGAAGCTCAATAAACAGGACAGATTCCTGCGCAGTAACACACTGATAAACTGAATAGTAGTTTCTCTCTAATATTTACTATGCCAAAAACTCTGGCTCATAATCTAATCATCTTATTGATTACCTATGACTTACCTATGACTTACCTATGACTTGTCCTGTTGCACATTCCATAGGTACTGTTCTATATGTACTGTTCCTGCAAAGTACAGAATGAGCCTATTGTCCAAACTATAGATTTCACTTTATGCATCTC